AGCTAATATCCAGAATACATAGGAACTTAAATGACTAAACAGCAAAAAAAACAAATAACCTGATTAAAAAATGGGTAAAGGACCCAAATAGACATTTCTCAAATGAAGGCAAACAAATGTCCAACAGGTACATGAAAAAATGCTCAACATCACTAATCATCAGGGAGCAAATTAAAACTATAATGAGATATCATCTCACTGCAGTTAGAAAGGCTATTATCAACAAGACAAAAAAATAACAAATGTTGGCAAGGATGCAAAGAAAAAAGAAACTCTCCTACACTGCCAGTGGGAATGTCAATTGGTACAGACACTGTGGAAAACAGTATGGAGGTTCCTCAGAGAACTGAAAATAGATCTACCCTATGACCCATCTATCTCACTACTGGGTATATACCCAAAGGAAATGAAATCAACATTTCAACAGACACCTGCACTCCCATGTTTACAATTCACAATAGCCAACAGATGGAATCAACCAAAATGTCCACCAATGGATGAAAAGGTTAAAAAACAACCAACAATAATGACGAAAAAAAAAAAAAAAACTGTGGTGCATAAATGGACAATGGAATACTACTCAGCTATTAAAAAACTAATATTAAGTGAGGTAAGTCAGGCACAAAAAGACAAATACAGCATGATACCACTCATATATGGAACCTAAAAAAAAGAAAAGAAAAAAAGTGGTTCTCATATAAGTAGAGAGTGGAATAATAGTTACCAGAGGTGGAGAGGGTATGACAGTGGGGGGAAGAAAAGTCGGGGATTAATGAGTACAAAACTATGCTACCTACTCTAAGTGAATCAATGTGCAGTATATGCATGTATTGGAACAGCATATTGTACCTAACTAATATGTACAAATACATGTTAAAATATTTTGAATTAAAAAGTAAAATTTAAAAAAAGAAACTAGTATATTGAAGTCCCCTACTATTATTTAGTTTATAAATTTAGGTGCTTTAATTAGTCTGTTTTTGTGTTGATATAACAGAATACCTGAGACTGGGTAATTTATAAAGAAAAGAATTTTTTGGGCTCATCTGAGACAGCTGCATCTGGTGTGGGCCTTAGCCTGCTTCTACTGATGGCAGGCAGCCAGTGAGAGCAGAGAGATCACATAGTGAGGGGAAGCAAGAGAGAGTGGGGGAATGTCAGGCTCCTTTTAATAATCAGCTCTCGCAAGAACTAACAGAGCTAGAACTCACTCACTAACTCTCCCACCAGGGAAGGCATTAATCTATACATAAGGTAACTGCCCCCCTGATCCAAATACCTCCCAACACTGCCACACTGGGGGATCGTATTTCAACATGAGCTTTGGGGGGACAAACATATCCAAGTTATATCAGTGTTCTGATATACAATGCACGTAACTGCCCCCCTGATCCAAATACCTCCCAACACTGCCACACTGGGGGATCGTATTTCAACGTGAGCTTTGGGGGGACAAACATATCCAAGTTATATCAGTGTTCTGATATACAATGCATATATATATATATATATATATAGTTACAGTTATACTTACAATTATATTCTCTTGATGAATAGACCACTTTCTCATTATATCCAACCCATGTCTCTTGTGACAGATTTTTATTGAAAGTCTATTTTGTCTGATATAAGTATGGCCACCTCTGCTCTCTTTAGTTACAATTTGCATGGAGTATCTTTTTCCATCTCTTCTCTTGCAGCCTATGTGTGTTCTTAAGTCTAAAATGAGTCTCTTCTAGGCAACATAGTGTTCTTTTCTGTGTAGAATTTAATGCATTTACATTTATAATAATCGTTGATAGGTAATGACATGCTATTGTCATTTTTAATTGATTTCTGATTGTTTTACAGTTCTTTGTTCCTTTCCTTGTCTGTCTTCCTTTGTGATTTCTTGATGTTTTTGTAGCATTATGCTTTGATTCCTTTCTCTTTATATTTTGTGTACCTACAATAGCTTTTTCTTTTTCTTTTGGATTACAATAAGGTTTACACAAAACATCATATAGTTATAACAGTCTGTTTTAAGCTGATAACAAGTTTACTTCAATCACATACAAAACTTCTACAGTTTTACTTCTCCCCCCTCCCACATAGTTTACACTTTTAATG